GGATAAAAAATATTTTTAAAACAATGTATAGGTGAATTTGAAATATATTTTAGTCAAAATGAGCAACTGACTTCTATTTATTATTAGATATTATTTTTTTTATATATCATAATTTATAAGTTTAAATAAAAAACATTAAAATAATACATAAAGAGCCAAATCAACCAATATAATATTTTTAAATATTGGACAGGCAAGTTAAACAAAATTTTTAAATAAATGAGCAAGCAGGTGCACCAAAACCTGCCATTACGGATCTCTAGTCAGGATGACATCGGATACAGCAGATCTAATGGATTTTACCTCTGCCAAAGAATCCATTTATAAATGATATGCTTCTGCCACTTTTATATTCCCATGCATTTATCACTAGAGGTCTGCAAATGACATAATTTTCAGGCCCATGGGAATTTAGTTAATTCTTGGCCCAATATCAATTTTTTTTTAAGATTGTAACAAAGATATATAATTGTATAATATGCAAATATTTATTAGATTGTGGGAATATTTATAATGGAAGGCCCAAAGCACTCCTTGTACAGTTTTCTCTAGAGTTTTGAGATTTTATTTATCTAAATAAGATTTGTTAAAAATTATACTTTTGAAAAATGAATATTTCTCCTGCACTTAACTTGACATTTTTTGCAGTAGGAAGAAAAATTGGCAAATTAATGAATGACAAAATCATTATTTTCATAATTCATATTTTGTAAAATAATTAGGAGAAAATTCTAATTCCCTATATAAAACCAAATATTTATTTATATAAAGAAATTCATGATTGATAAAATAATGCATAAAAATTGTATGTTCAGAAATTTAAAGATTACATAGATATATAAATTGTATAATGCAAATATTTATTAGATTATGGGAATATTTATAATGGAAGGCAAAGCACTCCTTGTACAATGTTCTCCAGAGTTTTGAGATTTTATTTATCTAAATAAAATTAGTTAAAAATAATACTTTTGAAAAATGAATATTTCGCCTGTAAGAATTCTGTTAATGATAGATACTACCAAATCATCGTAAAGCTTTTCTAAATTTCAACCTAATTTGCTAATTACCGACCATAATTTATTAAAATGTAATAAGACCCTTATTATTTAACATATATTATATCGGAATCACATGGTTGTCCGGCCTCCTATATGTCATCCCCCCAAAGACTAAACCACCAAGTTGGATTTTAAATAAAAATGATCTTTGCTGGGATTCGAACCCAAAGTCATCGGATTTGTAAGCGACGCTCTTGCCGATTAGGCCATCGACATTTTCAAAATTAACGATTTTTTAAATGTATATTATAAATAAATTTGCCCAAATGAAAAATAAACAAAATACAAATACTTGAATTTCTTCAATCCTATCTTCTGTTGCTTGTCAACCCATTAAAAGCTATTAGCTATTTATCTGTAAGTTAATAACCCACCAGATTAACGCTTGCTTTTCAATTTGTTTCTTCTAAACTCCATCTTAAATTCTATTAATAAGTTGTCCTAGTTTTTGCTTGTATCTAACGTTCTCTTGTAATTAATAGCTCTTTATAGCGGTAATTGATTATGATTACTTGTAAACGATTCGATGGATTATAGTCTCTTTTTCAACTTTTGTGTCTTTTACTATCTGTATTTCTTGATAATTTATCCTAGCTAGTCGCTTTTTTCTAACATTCTCCTCTAATAAATGATTAGCGCTTTATCTCGGTAAACGATTGACTATAATTGGCCTGCTATTAACGATTGTTTTCATTAATTCTTGTTCCTATGATCGTCGACTTCCGTATCTTACACAAGTTTCGGTAACAATTGGCGATAATTGGTCAGCGATTAACGATTGCAGCATGAACGTCTTGACCATTTGTTCTATCTAGTCGCTTGTTTCCAACTTTCTCTTATAATTGATTACTTCTTCTAATTCTTGTAACTGTATAAATCTTTTAGACTTCCGGGTCTTCTACGACAGTTTGCACTTGCCAAAATATTGAATTTGTCTTAAGGTCTCAGGTAATCACATCTAATCTACTTCTACCTAAAATAATCTATTTACTCCTTATATTTCTGAAATTTTTTTTTACCTTTTTTTACATTCATTCTCAAATTTAAAATTCCTACTTAATATATCAATAAAATATATAATTATGTCAACTTCATCTTAATGTATAAGGTTATCGCCTCTAATCTAATTCTTCCTTACATAATCTATTAAATTGCTTAATTTCGAAATATTTGCTCACTTTCTCTAAATTAGATCTTAAAATTATAATACATAGTCAAAATAGCTCACTTTTTTCTCTAAATTAGATCTTAAAATTATAATACATAGTCAAAATATACTAAATAAATTATATAATTATGTCAAATTCTACCACCCCTTTACCCCCATTAAGCCTAGATTCATATCTTCATTGAGCCATTTGTATATAGTCGTCCTTTACCTATCAATCCATATCTTTTGTTAACCATGACTAAAGCTGCATTTAAATCTAAAATTCTCTTGAATATCTTGAATCTAAAAATCTTAGTTCTAAATTTTTATCCCAAAATATTTTTTTATTCTTGTGGCATTACGCATTTATTTCATTTTACTAATGAATCCTTGTACTCGCATGTTCTTTTAAGCAACATAAAATATCAATTTCTTTTTTCTCCTTTATGCGGTTCGCATCCATTGTTCAAAAACAACTGTAATAAATATCATTTTTCTTCTTTTTCGTTCACTCTCGTTGTTGAAAAACAAATAATCCTCATAATTCGCACCCGTTGTTAAAAACCAACTTATGTTTATAATCAGTTTTCACCTTAATATATGATTCTCATAATAGCACCATCAATTATGTCTATCATTAATTTTACAACACAAAATTATGATTCTGATAATTCTAACACCACTTGTTAAAAAACAAATCAATTATATTTCTAACCCACTTTTTTATTTCACAATTATATATCACTATTTTACACTCAAATTCTTCTTTTTTTTAAACCTTTTAAATTCTAATATTTTTTTTCAATTTTACACGTTTGTAACTAGTTTTATTTTAATTAAATATCAAAATCTTTTTCTTTTTCTCTTCCGAACTATTTCATATCCATATATCATTATTCAAAAAAATAACTTTCTTCATTCTGCTTGGATCTTTTATCTACAAGCTCTAGGGTAATTTTTGAATTTCTATTTTCTTATATCTAAAACCTCATTAAACAATTTAAAATAGCCTTTATCATTTCTTCTTTAGTATTTCCATATTTTTCGCTTGTTTTTCTTTCTGGTATTATTAGAATAATGTTGCATAATTGACCTCAAATCTTATTAATGATTCAAATAAAATTCCGATCTCTAATTGAGCTCGTTTGCGGCCTGAATTTTCTAATGATGAAAGGCGTTTCTCTTTACGAATTTGGTTAATCAACAACCTAATATTTTACGAAATATTATGAACTTATGCGTATCTTATTCACATTCATATCATTGAGGCTGTTTTATCTCTCGCAACCCTTAAAATTAAAGTTAAACGTAAATCTTTAATAAGAATGTAATTACAACATCAACATATTATCTAACAATCTTATTCTCCGAATTTTTTAAATTATCGTATCTTTATGCAAACTATTTGTATTCGAGTCTTTAATTTAATCTTCGCATATTTTCAATTATAATATATTTTTACAAATAAATTTATTTAATCTCAATTTATGTTCCTTTTTCTTTATCATAGTTATCTCCAGTGATCATTTTTAATAACTTATAATAATTTCTAAAATCTAAATTATCTTATAGTCTAAGTTAGATTTAGTTGGAAGTTTACTTATAACTTTTGTTAATTTCATAAATTATCATCTTTAAATAACTATAACACAGCTATAAATGATACCTTTATAATCCTCTTTTTTTCAATTTATTATATTCCTACACCATTTTGAATCTTTATCTAACAATTTTTAAAAATATAGTCTGAGAAAATGAGCTACTATAAAATAATTTCCTTCTTTTTCAACCTACGTCTTCAAAATTTGATTTATATAACTCTAAATATTTTTCTTACCCAATTATTTTTGGAATTTTTGCATTAGAATGCAGTTTGACAACACTCCTTGTTCCCATGTGACCATTGCTTGGCATTAGACTGAAATTTTCTGAATTGCCCCCAGAACGCATTCTTCCTTTGACACCACTGTTGAATTGCGAATTTTTGAGTATCATTGCAATCTAAATAAAAATGATGATAAAATAATTAATATGAAATTTAACACAATAACAGAATTTATGGCTTCCTTTATTCATAACTATTAATTATACAATAATAAATTATAAAGCAAAAACATTATAAAATTAAAGTTAAAAATAAAAATTAAAAGAACTAAAATAATTAAAAAGATTAAAAATTATAAGCAAAAAAATAAAAGTGAATAACTCAATTGTTAAACCCTTAAGGTATAAAATATCTACAATTATTACGCGTTTTCATCACATTTACATAACAAACATTTAGAAATATATAAAAAAAACTTTAACCAAAATAAATTCTATTTGTAAATTATATATAATACATCAACACAAAATAATCCAATCTATATCATTTACATATTTAGTGATTTAGTGTTGTTAAATGGCTCGATTTGAGCCGATTTTTAAAAACGGCTAATTCAAGATTTTAGCCAGAAAAATTTTGCCAAAGCTTTGAGATTTCGCTAATAGATGTCCATACCTTTGTGCCATCTATGAGAAAAATCTTCAGGCTTACGTTATTTTCTTTTAGATAAATTGAGTTAGCCGTTTTTAAAAATCGGCTCAAATAGAGCCGTTTAAAAACATTATAAATATTTCTAGATATCACAATAATATTTTAACTAGAACGGAACAGGAAGGCAAAAATGCTTTTGTTCCGGGTCCCTGGTTAAAATATTATGAATTTCTAATCCCTTGCAAAATATTATAAGCATTTTATACTGTATTAATAATATAACATTATATCTATTTATTATAAAAAATACAAGGTATTTGGTGGTTTTTTCGTCAATATAAGAAGCATATCTCCAGTTATAATGTGGCTTAAATATTGTAGCATATTTTTGTACGCTAATCATGTAAGTAAATTTATAAGTCATTTAGATAAAATTTTCATTCAGTATCTCTCAATTTAAGAATATACATTTATTATTATAATTATTCATATGGAAAATATAAATTATTTATTTATTACATTTAAAACCAATATATAATATCAGGCTTTCCTCACAAATGAACTAAAAGACCAGATATTTTGCGACGATCTAGTAATGGAAACAAACATGAATACATCATTGACACCTGATAATAATAATCATTGGTATTATAATACATTATGAAGTTATTGATTGAAAAGAAAATGAATCGATAATATTATTTTTAATACGAAGATGATATTTCATAGTAGCCAAGCCATTTAAAGCTCTAGTCTTTATATAATACTAAATTTTAGACAAAATATTACTAGTAATTATATAGTTATTTTTTAATAACTTACTTTATATAAAATTGAAAGCAACTCGTTATTTGTTACAATTATGTGCCCTACAAGCAGACCTGCGTTAGGCCCGAAACCGAGCTTGGACCTACCATTATATTTTTTTAAATTGGAGCCAGGAATTTTCAAAAAAAATAAACTTTTCTTTTATCACAATAAATGAAAATTATAATTTCTTTGGTAATAAATAAAGCAATTCGCGATTTTTACTTCATTTTACTATTTTAACAATGTGTTTAATATATATTTTTCAAAAAAAATTAGGGTCCGGGTCTAAAATCAAAATCTGGGTTCAAAGCTTAAAAATAAATTTAAAAAAAAAGACATTGCAAATAAAATAAAGAACAACGATGATCATGGGTCGGTTTTTTTAAAATACCTGTCCGATCCGATTTAAGAGCAGTAAGTATCGGCTACAATTCGATTCGATATTTAATATTGACCATCCATAAATTTAATATTAATAAAATTATCATTAGTCTTTTTAAAATAATATAAATATTCAGTATAACCGGTAATTCATATCTAATCAACCAAGGCATACCATTTAAAAATGATTGGGATTTTTGGCAAAATCATGTTGCATTAGTGACAATTACTCTTATCTTTTGGATATTAAGTTATATTCAACTAAGAAGAATGAAAAGAAATTGACCGGTCTTATTAAATCTTAAAAAACTATAATATTTTAATAAAATTGTTATATTCTATTTTAAAATTATATTTATTAGAAATTTTTGCAATTATTTATAAAAAAAAATTTTTAATTTATAATTTTTTTATAATACTTTCCTACATTTTAATATTTTATTTAAACTTTTCCCCATCTATTATTCACGGAAATAAATTATAGTAGAATATTTTAATGCTAAAATTATATTTATAAAAATAATCACAATTATTTATAGATATTTAAAAAGGAGATATTATATTAATTGTTATATAATTTATATTTTATATAATCTCTTCATTCTTATTATTTTTTTAATACTAATTTACGGCCTGCACTTCGCCTAATTATATCAAAATACAAATTTTAAAATTAATTTTTATCATTTTATTTTCGTTTATTTTTATAATTACCGTGCATTCACAGTTAGCGCGAAGTATCCAATATTATAATAATTTTAATTCATTTTCGTGTAATTCGCCGCAATTAATGTAAATCGATATTTTTTTTAAAAAAAAATATTTCACTCTTTTGAATTTATAAATATTTTGGTAAAATTTATTGTCCAAGTCCATAAAACTAAAAGTATGAATTAATAATAAATAAAAATATCATAATTCACATTTATTTAAACAAATTTATTTTGTAAATTATTTTTTAAAGATTCAAGAATTAGAGGTTATAGTTATCTATTTATTTTTTTAAACTCTTAATTCCAAATTATATAAAAATAAATTATATAATGTTTGATAGATTTTAATATGATTTTATTTATTAATAGATTTTATGCATAATTTGATTTATAAAACGAATTATGAGAATAATGCGTTATTCGATTCATATTCTTTTATACTCCTTTTCTAACTTAAAAAATTACCTCCTATTTTAAAAATTAAATTTACTGAATTTTTCATTATAAAACATTATTTATATACTAGATAAAGGTAGGACTAGATATGCAAATATCCCAAGAAAACGAAATTCGAGGTAATTTAATTATAGGGGTATCAATGAAAAATTCTTACAAATAAGATTTTTGTGTCTATATCATAATTTTATAACTTTATAAATATTTTATTTGTTTATTATATTCAGAGTTGGGCAGGTCCTCCGGAAAAAGAATATAGATACAGATTCTTTATAAAAAAAATGAATCTTAGATACAGATACTCGTATCTTTTTCAAAATATCAAAAAGATAAACACCTGTCTTAGAGCTCCCCAGTCTCCCATAAATTTATATAAAATACGTTATTTCTCTATTAAAGGAAAATGGAAAGAGCTGTAAACTCGATATTCACGAGGTATATTTAAAATTCGATTTACTTAAATTAGACATTATGTGAATCCCCAAATTTAAAGAGCATGTTCTAAAGTAGTTTTTAAAATAATTATACTGTAATATTCATAACATTCTATATTTAAAACTAGAAGAAAACTAGAGGCATCACTAGTCTTTAAAATCCCAGGGGGCTCAAAAAATTTTTTAAAATTAATTTCAAAATTACCTTTTTTGAGGGGGTTCTTTAAATATTTCAGGGGGCTTCGAGCCCTCTAATGACGCTACTGATGAAAAGAATGATTCAAACGATGACGATGTGAAGGATCATATGAAATATTAATTGCTACATTCAGTTAAAGGATTCAATTTTTGATGTGATAATGATATGCAAATTTATAACCTCATTTATTAAGCTAAACAGAGATCTATAACTTATAATAATTTTAATTAAAAATTTGTTAATAAAATTCAAAAAATATTTTTTTTATATGTTATAGATCTTTTTAGGCTAGAAATATATTAAAAATTTATTTAATTAATTGGTATCTCATATTCCGATATTTTTTGATTTTAGAAATTACACTGTTTAGATGTCTGATTGTTGAAAAATATATGAAATTATCGCAACAATAAATTATCAGAACTGTTTATTACTAAAACTAATAAGTTATAATGCTAAAAACTGTAGAAAAAATTGATTGTTATTTTAAAAACGAATTGGGTTACCTCTACTTCTTATGATAAATTTAAATATTATTGTAAAAAAATGCGTTAGTAAGATATGGAATAATATCTCAAATGATACTACATTTATTTTTAAGTCTATATGCATCCTGTGAATGTGAAAATAACAGATTATAGTTCCTGTGAATTGAGGAGACGGATTAATATATTCTATATTTAAATATTTTTGATTTGCTACATTACATGGTGAGGGTATGTTTGTTTAAATTTATTTAGATTATTTTGTTTCAGATCTCTTATTTGGCTTCAATTTGTTAGCTTGGGTTTGGAATGATTTATTTTGTTTGCCTCCATTTTTGTTACGCTTTATTTATTTCACTCTGGTTTCTTTGACAGCGTTTTGTTTCTCTTCGTAATGTTTTTTAGCGATTTGTTTCACTTCATTCTGTTATGCTTTGTTTTGTCTCACAGAGTATAATTACTCCTTTATTCTGATTTTGTTAGTCTAACAAAACCAATGCTGACTAAGCCAGGCGTGACAAATCAAAGTCTGATTACGCCATCTGATAAAGTAAAATCTAACAAATTCTAGCCTAGCATGGCCTACCTAAACTAGGGCCAAACAAAACCAGGCTAAGGAAAACAAACCCGATTCAAATTAAGTAGTACCTAGCCGAAAGCCTTCAAGCCTGAAGTAATTCGAATAAAGCAGAGACAACCAAAACTAAGAGGATGTACTTCTGAGATTAAGCTAATGGTTTATAAGCCTTTCTAGGAATTAAGAAATAAAGTTTGACTCTTGTAGGTTCTATCTATCTTTTCTATTTTGAGGTATCTGACAGGGGCGTCGCTAGCCTTTACAATCTCAAGGGGCTCAACTAAAAAATATTTATGGGGGAGGGGGCTTCGCCCCTATGCCTCCCAATTTGCGGGCCTTCGGCCAGCTTTTGCTCGGCCTTCCGTCGGGTTTTATATAAATATATTTTTTAAATTTGTTAACTGAACAATTATTCTGAATTTTAATTTTCTCATTTATTATATTTTGCATACAAAATAAACTGCTATATAAATAATTTAAACAATACAAGACATTTCTAAAAATAAAATTTTTTAATACAAAATCTATTTATTACAGTATAAAATATTTTCGATTGCTGATATAAAAAAAATTTGCGTCTAAAGAATTACAAGTGATAAAAAAGATTAATTAATTCATACATATGCCTCAATTGATAATAGTTTTTAAAAACCACATAATGCAATAATATAATTCTTAGCAACTTACATTGACAAAAGGTTATCAAACTAATATAACTCTCTGTTACCATTTTACACATTTATAGAATGGACTAATAAGGAAAAATTTATAGGCCTAAACCAAATCAGCAATTCTTGAAGAAGAGAGTATAAACGAACAATCCAAATCATAAAACTATTAAGTGGTTAGAGCTACCTTTAGATGACATGATGGTAGCTAGAAGTAGTCGAGAAAATTATTGTGAGATATTAAATTTCTAAAAGATTATCATCCATTTTAAATGATATATAAACGACTACACAGTTGACCATTATTGTTTATCTAAAATATGCTCTCAGCCGTTATAGTAATAATCTTAAATTACATAGCAACACAAATAATAGATGCTGGTTAATTTGCAGTAATAGTCATGGCACTCACGTTGTAAACTAGTATCAGAATTTATTATGTTGGATAAATTGATAAAATAAAAACAATAAAAATCTTTGGAAGAAATAATTATGCAAATATATTGAAGCCTTGAGTTATTTACATGGCAAGGATGCCATATCAGAAATGAAACATTTTTGAACTATAAAATAAGGACCAGAATGATATGATGAAACAATTAAGATTTAATATATTGTCGCACCACCTCTAGTTGGTATATTATATCTTAAAATAATCGTAGTTTGTAAAAATATCAAAAATATACTTGTATTAAACATTTAACTCAAAACTGTTTTTTGAAAAAGAAAAAAATAGCTTTCCTAACGTAAAAAAGAAATCAACATCTATTGTACGTGATACGTGATAAAAGCGTTTTCGCCCTCTGGTTGAGGATACAACAGAGCTATGCTAGATTTTCCTCAAAAATCCATCAAACTGGATAGTTAATTAAGGGGAGAAAAATGAGGAGCCCTTCACACATTTGTGGGCAAGCCGCACGTACTTGTACGCGCAACAATTCAAGAACTGTTGCTTAAACGTCTATAGGCTAATAAACAAAAGAAATGGGCAAAACAAAAGCCTATACCCAAGAACTGCAAAAATAATTTAATTACTTTAAGGGTGGGTGGTGGCTAATTTTAAGTTTAACATCTAATGTAAGCCTTGATAATTACTATCAATAATTGAGAATGTGTTCAAATCAATTGAAATTAGAATTTATTCATGAAAATAAGAAAAAGCTAATGGGTTTACCGCAAATTGTTTAAATGGGTGAAAATTCCAGTGAATAGGCAAAACTAGTCAGTAATAGGTTTATGACTATCCAGCAACGAACACCACACAACAAAGGTTTTTTTTTCTTTTCCAGAGAAACAAAATACTCTATGGAGTGATAGATAGATTATATAGAGAAAAAGGTTTTTGATATTAATAAAGATATGAGAGAAAGGAACTACGACGCAGAAATAGGAACCAGCTCAAGTTTTAGGAAATAGAACAGTAATTGTTGGCCAGGATTTACAAAAGGCATTATGGCTTGATTGTTATATGATAGTCTATCACTCACGGAAAGACTCTACAAACAAACATAATTACAAACCTCGCCACCCCCATCCCTGTCGACTGGTTTCTCCATAAATGAAATAACAAGTGGTCAAAGACTAAGGGAAAACAAAGCTCCGGGGCTAGATAATATCACAGCAGAAAACCCAAAAATAGCACCTATAACAATATCTCGCTACCTATTAGCCCTCTTTCAATAAAATATGGGAGAGCGGAACTATTCAGTGGGATGGAACAAATCCTACTTAAGTAACTACCCAAAAATCTAAGACCACAGTAATTAAAGGGTTACTGAGCTATAGCCATCACATACTGTAGCATGGAA